TGTGAGTTTTGGCCGCCCTGCTAGACTTATAGAGAAATTGGTCATCAGATAATTCACCCTTTGGCTTAAGGCTCGAGCTCTGTGAAAGGTCGAAGCTTCTTTCAAACAACCTGTTAACGTTTCTCTCGTTATCTGTCTCTGTCTGTTCACACATTTACTTGCTTCTTGTCACAAAGGGTGTGCCTACAGCTCGTACTGAATGAGAGTGCGTGTGTGCGTGTGTGTGTGTGTGTGTGTGTGTGTGTGTGTGTGTGTGTGTGTGTGTGTGTGTGTGTGTGTGTGTGTGTGTGTGTGTGTGTGTGTGTGTGTGTGTGTGTGTGTGTGTGTGTGTGTGTGTGTGTGTGTGCATGTGTGTGTGTGTGTGTGTGTGTGTGTGTGTGTATGTGGGTGGGTGTGTGTGTGTTTCTTTCAACTCAGTGCCAACAGAGGCAGTGGCTCTTCCTCCTCCACAAGCCAGGACTGGTGTCACCCTGAAGTACAGAGCCCTTGTTGTGACAGAATATTCTGGTCTACACGGACAGACTAAACGCCACCTAGCCTCCCTTTATGGGTGTGAAAGTGTAAGTGTATGTGTGAATGTGTGCTTGTGTTTGTGTGTGCGTGAAACTGTCAGAAACACCAGATCTAAAGCACTTGTATTACTTCACTGGGGCTTCTTCTAAACCCTCAGTGCTGGAATAATAGAGTACACATTGTAGACATTCCTATAGCCAGTGACAGTTAGGGTGATAAGTGCCTAAGCTGTGAAAGGGCTTGTGTACATTTGGAGATGTATGGTCTTACACTCCATTGACTTTTACTGCTGTCACAGACAAAGAGGTTAGTGCCAGAACTTTGAAAAAGTCAAAAGCCTGAAAATCAGCTGAACAGATAGGAAGGTTTACTTCTGATCGACTGTTTTCTTTAGTCTTTAGGGGGGATGCGTAGGGTCGGACTTTGAAAACACCTGCGTTAGGGTGTTATGCATTTTCTTTGCAATATTCTTGAGTCAACATTTTCACAGAAGCAAGACAACTGAAAGAAACATCCCTGCAAAGGCAACAGCACCATGAATATCATCAACTTCAACCTGCTGTCACACTATTCCCATAAAAGATAACATACATCAATATTACCATCAGACAGTATTTATAACTTTTCCACTTACCTTCATGTGTCTTGAAGAGAGTAATGAATCCATAGAGAGGATTTAATATACACTTACCTAAGATAACCTTTTTTCTAAAGCTAAAGTATCATTGGTTGGGTTTCTGAACCAAGTCCATCCCATCAGTAGAGGCTACTTAAAGTTATACCCGCCTGCTCACTGCCCCACTGCCTCAATGGCTAGAGTGCCAGGTCATTGGTCAGCTGGTTGAAACATGTGACCTCGTGTGATGGAGGTCTGACGGGGACAGATGGGTGTTTGCAGTGATGTGTTAATGAGGTGTTGCTGGGTGGAAATTAATGGAAAGGTTGCTGCATGTGCTTTCCGGGAAATTAGAAAAGGGAAGATTGACAGAAGGAGCTTTACCTGTATTTGATCATTAAGTACATAGACTTTATAATGTGTTTGCTCAAGGTTCACAAGGATAACAAGCTGGCTGGCATTGATTTTGTTATGTGCTAACTGTATTATTAAAATAGCCCTATGGTCAATAACCAAATGTCGGCTAAATGAATGACTAATTTACAGGTTTGATTCATAGCATAGGAGGTCTAAATAATGGGAAAAGGAGGAAAGAAGGGTTTCTGTGAGAGTTGTGGTAAAAAAAACAGAGAGAGAAAATTAAAAGAAAGGAAGCGAAAGAATGAGACACAGTCATACAGGGTGTTGGATATTGAAATATAAAGGTGAGTTTTGCATGATGCTTCTTCTATTCAAAGCAGAATATTGGTCATTTCTTTAATCCTGAATCTCCACACATTTTCTCTGCTGTCCTTCAGTTCAAATCCATCATTCACTCTTACCAACTGTTCGTCTTGCTCTCACACATTGCACTTTGAAGTGTATGCTTTGGTATGAGTGTGTGTGTATGTATATGTGTCTTTAAACGTGAGTGTGTTTGTGCTTTCGGACATATTTGGGTTGTGCATACTTGAAAGTGCTTTAATACTACTGTGTGCATTACACTTCATCTTCATTTATGTAAACGTAAAAAGGTACATATAAGTGAGTGAAGAGCAGCCAGTTGTAATAGTGTGTGTGTTTGTGTGTGTGTCTGTATGCATGATGTCTTGCATGCCTAAAGCAAGACACTGCTGTGTTTGGTTGAACCTCACAGTACCAATAACATGGTTGCATCACGCACTGGTGTGTGTGGTTCAGAGAAGAGGGTAGGATGGAACGAAAACAAGATGGACAACATGAAAGAAGGAGGAATAAGGGAAACAGAAGCGAAGGAAATAGTCAATTGAATGTGCCGTGGATGGTCATACCAGTCACAAAACAGAGGCAGCCCTTGTTTATGCCATGTGCAGGTAACAACATGTTCTGCCCTCTAGTCCCATAGTCTGTTGGTTGCATACAAATGGAAAAGCATGAGTGCCTCTCCCTTATTATGTGCATCTCTCTCCTTCTCTCCTTTCCCTGCTGAGATTCTTCACATTGCTGTCTTAATTTTTCTTTTTGTCTCTCCCTCCATTTGTCTTATTCCTTTTTACTTTTCTTTTTTAAATGTCCCTCTTTTTCCCCTTTTTGGAGTTAAAAATACGTCTACCTTATCGCTACAATCTACTCAGCCACGATCAATCATCAGCCTTTTCTTGTTCAGCTTGTCCCTGTCATTGAAGGTTTCACTCTCCTTTACCAGGTTTTTTTCCTGGTAAAGTAGAGTACCACTTAACTTTCACATCCACGAGACAGGATCAGGGTAATCAATAACATACAGTATCATATTCTGTTTATTTAAAGTAACAATTCCTGTGTGCGCTTGAACTACACTTATTTTTCCATTTCTCTTGTGCCATCTCTGTAGAAAAACCATGGACATGTCATCTTTGACATCTCCCATTGGCTTTTGACAGGACTTTTTGGAGCCAGGCGTTTGTGTTTACCAAGCTGCCATGTTGTCAGCTGTTTAGAGCCAGAAACGACACATCTAAGCAACAGATCTCAATCCAAATGATCACTTACTGGTGACTGTCAAGCTACTTCCAAATTCAAGCGACTTGTATGTCAGGAGAATAGAAGCTGGGGACTAGCAGATAAACATCTTACAAATAAACCATGTTTTTTTCTTTTAATTTGCCTACCACGGACACATAAATATATGTAATTAGTTTAGAATTTCTCAAGAGATGTTGGTGTTCTTTTCAGCTGGCCGTCTGTTCAAATTATCTTCAAGGACACTCAGCCTCGGTGGTTACGGTTTGTTCCCTCCCTGCTTTCCCCCTCTGTTCTTACCCTCCAATCCATCTTTCCCTGCACGTTCATTTATCTCTCTAACTCTCTGTTTTTTTGTAGTAAAGCTTTGGCTAATTATTACATCGTGCTCGCACTGAAGTCGCCCTGTGAAGAAGCGTTGCTGATCGCCGCTGGGTCTAACGCGGCATGGGGGATGGGGAATTGAACAATAGGTCTTCAAAGCTAGTTAGCTTCACAGAGCTCCTGTCACAACTACACTCACGCTGCAACCTGTTTACTACCCAAGCCCCCCGCAATTACCAGCTCCCCAGCAGGGGCAAAGCTAGCGCCTGGAGAGAGTTAACACTAAGCAGGAAGAAGGAGGAAGAGGGGGGAGCCCCTTTAAGAGGCTGAGGCAGGGTAGCTGTATTTGTGACAAATCCTAGAGGGAGAAGCATGGTGCGAGCATGTATGTGTGTGTGTGTGTGTGTGTGTGTGTGTGTGTGTGTGTGTGTGTGTGTGTGTGTGTGTGTGTGTGTGTGTGGAGAGGGTGTTGTGCTGTATACAAAGCAGAGCAGAAGAAGAGAGCAAATGAAAGACAGGTAAAGGATGTTTAGTTTTATTGGGCCCCTGGACAATCAGCCTGTTTCTATGAGTCTATAAACCAACCATTAAAATGATTGAATCAATGAAGGAAAAGGACTGTCTATGTAATAAACTTCTGTAATGGATGGGTAAGGTTTTAAGGGGGCTGGGAATTAAATAAGCATGTGTAATTATTGATGTGTCTCTGTTATATAGTTGCATGTGCGTCAACCTGTCGCCAAGACCTGGCCCCTGACTCACAGGGACAGTGGGGCAGTGAAACAAGCAGCAGCACGGGGCCCCTACAACACACTGCTTCTCAATGTCTGTGTCTATGACAGCCAATCACAAATGACCCATCATATAGCCCCAGGCTGCTGGGAAAGGTCAAAGGATGTGTAACAAAGTTTGTTAAAGAAAGGTAATCCATTCATTATCAGCCAATTCATCATTCATATGATAATAATGGCAGGCACTGTCAAATCTAAGGATGTGACAGAGCTAAACAGCAAGAAGAATTCTTCATCCGAACAGCTAAAAATGTGTAAAATGTTGCTATTCTAGTACTTTTTAAATAGTAGGGACATGTTTTTGTTGAGAAACAGTGCGTTAGGGAGCCCGTACCACCTGGACTAACTGTTATAAAACTCTCTTTGTCCAACAGACTTCACTTTTTTCCAGGAGTATCTGATACAACTCCCCCCCCCCCCTCATTACACTCATTGGTGAAGAACACACACCTGCAATATCCATCAAATAAAACATTGAGATGTTCATTTTCAACGTGTTGCAGCATCTTATCAATATCCTTTCAAAAATAATGCACTTCTTTTTGATCTATCCTCTTTGCCCGTAATCCTTCTACCATGCTTTTCATCCTTTCCACCATAAGTCATCAGATACTCCTGGAAGCCATTCCCTACTGAAATCTCATCATCCATCCAATCTGTCTTTCATCTTTCCTCCTCCAATCTTTCCATCTCCCCCCATCTTGGTCTTACAGTGGGAATGGCTGTAGTGATAGTCAGCTGTGGTCCAAAAGTGGAAGGAGTTATTTTTATTTTTCTCATCTTTCTCCCTGCCCACTTACACTGCACATCTACGCGGATGGACTTGATGGCAGCCACCCCCACCCCGTTGTCGGCCTTGCAGTAGTAGCGACCCCCCTGCACCCTCTGGATGCCCTCAATGCGCAGCGTCTCGTTGTAGATTGATGTTTCTTGGAACTTGTCTGATGCACTGCCTGCAGTCTTTGTCCACCGCACCTGAAGAGAACAGGGAGAAGAGAACATTGTTCAATTGACGAAGATGCTGTCGGTGAAACCAGAACAGAATCAGTCAAAATGTGAGGGGAAATAGTTCAGACAGCAGCAGAGACAATGAGTCAGAAGGCAGGCTTTGACAATTGATTGCCCAAAAACTTAAAAGATACAGTAAGAAACAAAAATGCTGAAATCGACCACTCTTTACAAAGGCATATTCAACTTTATGCACCAATAAAACTAACATTTGAAAGTGACTTTCTGGTCCAGTTTCCTACAAAGGAAATGAGGGACACATAATGATTGAATAGACAACACTGATTGAAGATTAATTCATCTTCTTCAGCAAGGTAAGATGTTAACATAGACTGTGTTCCCTTGAACAAACAGCATTAGTAATTTAACAAATAGTCAAACACAACCAATGTTTGCATTCATGTAGTAAGAGTCATGACTATTGAGGATTTTCTTCTAACTGTGAATCACGCTACAAAATCCGCCCCATATTAGCAAAAATATAACCATATAAGCATTTGTGAGACAGATTGGAAAGTATTTATTTCTCTGGGCAAGTCTTGAATAACTATAATATGTCTGAGATACTGATAAAAAATTATAAATGAAGAGAGCGGGGACTTTTTTCTTGGTGATAAAATCTGTCTGCTCCACAGAGTGGGAGTTAATGACACTAAGCGCTGCACTCATGGTGTCCATGATGCTAAACTCAGACCATTTAGAGTTTTGACAAACTCTATATGGCTTTTCCACGCCTCAATTATCCCATCAAGCCGTGGGAATGCTGCACAGCCGACAGCTACATGATACTTCCACTTGATTAATCAAATGCACAAACACACACAGGCTCCAGAGATACATGAAAGCCTGAGCACTGGTTATGTTCCCTCTTATGTGTGTGTGCAACTGTGTGTGTGCACAGTCCATTAATCCCTATTAACCCTTCTGTCTGTTATCAACCTCGACGAGACTATCAACCATGTCCTGTTGAGGAGGTCAGAGAGGATAATGGGCAAAAGTCATTGATGTGTGTGTGCATGCAAATGTTTGTGCGGATAAGTGTTTTTCTTCCTGATTTAATGCACAGTTGTCTGCCTGTGTTCCTGGATATGTACATAGTATCGGCGTAGATCTTCAATTCTGGTGTGTGTAAGTGTGTGAGTGTGTTCTGGTTAGAAAGCAGGTTATATGGATTAGCAGATTATCAGGGCCTGTGTAAACACTCCCTGCCTGTTTATTCAGCTCTGTTTGTGGGAAGGATTTGGAGGAGGCAGACTGCCATTGATCACACCAGCCAAGGTGAGCAATGAACCGAACCCTGTCTCTCCATGGTTTAGTGACTCCAGTTTGCATGTGCGTGTGTGTGTGTGTGTGTGTGTGTGTGTGTGTGTGTGTGTGTGTGTGTGTGTGTTTATGTGTGTGTGTGTGTGTTTTGTGCAAGACAGAAAAGGAGAGATAGTGAACGTGAGCATGAAGTGTGCATTTGTCTTTTCATGCTTTTATCCTTTCTATTCAAGGATTAAAAGAGGAGAGGATAGGATCTTACAGTATAAATTATGGACGTTTTGCCTGCTTGTGTTTAGTGTTACGGCTGCTGTTACTGTCTGCCCGTTAACCTGTCTGAGATTGTTTGCAGCTGTGTGTAATATGTAAATGAGCTGTGTGGTTGCCCCAATGTCGTTGGCTGTCATCTCCTGGTCCTCCTCCGAAGACGCTGATTGGAGCACGCCGGGCCCGACGCTCTCCAATCCCCGTGCAATCCCAGAGCACACCTTCCGGAGATTACTACAAAGCCTGGGGACAATTATCACTCGGGAGGCTCTGCTGCGATCAGACGCCTCACACATTTTGCTCCTGTGTCGTGGACACTTCAATCTTGAGCTATAGACTGTGTTTGATTTGTAATCCGTGTTTAGTATTGTGTGTTTAGTGTGTTTATACGTGTGCTTAGAGTAGCGTATTGATTTAATGTGTTTAGAGTAGCGTGTGTTTAGTTTATGTTGTTAGCTGCGTTTTCCTGCAGCCTCCTTCCAATATGGCTAATTGGAAGAGATCTCAGGTGTCTTAATTAGGCTCATTTTCAAGAGTCCTCCTGTTACCTGTTTTTTGGCTTCTTTGTTTGGCTTAGGCTACTTTTGCTCCCTTTTTGTTGTACACCTTTGTGTTATTTCATTAAAACCCTATTATAATTACTTACCAAAACCATCTGGTGTGTGTTAACTTACTCATCCCTAGTGGGTTCGTAACATTAGTAAAGGAAGCATTTAAGAGTAATCCCTCGGATTATAGTTCAGGAATAGAAAGAATAGTTTCAAATATGGCAAGAGTATTGGATTTGGGCTTTGGACTTTAAATATAAAATCATAATGTGTCTCAGTGAAAAGCAGTTGTGTCCCTTTTTGTGTGTGTAAAAAAGGGTTGAGGATGAAATCAGGATGATGTGTGGCACTCAAAAGATTACAGAAAAGCAATGAAAGTGCAAGTACAATATGAGCTTACAGTAATACTGCTAAGAGTATTTTTATACAAAGAGATCCTACGGTAAAAGGCATGAGTAAGGTATGGATGGAAACAGAGAGACAAAGGGTGAGGAAGGAAAAACATAGACGGAGAAGAATAAAGTAGGTAAGAAGACTGAATGTGTAAACGAAAGTGAAAGAGGATTTTTTTCGAGTGAGTGTGAGAATGAGAGGAATGATGTATATATACAGTATCCCTGGCAGCTGTGAGAGGGTGAGAGAAATAGTGCCTCACACCCAGAGTTGCTACACCGGAGAGGCAGATGAAGCAAAATAGATGGAGGTGATATTGCAAATAAAGGGGACATTGTGTGTGATGCAGATGACTGGCGGCAGGAGAGGAGCCTATATCTGCCTGTGACACCAGGAGCTTAAAATCATCACCTGCGCTCTCTTTCTCTGACCTCGTTCGCTCTCCCTCCATACCTCATTCTTCTCTCTTCCTTCAATAGACATGTGATGCTGCTCTATTTTCTCACTCAGGTCCCGACGGATTGGTCTGGATATCTTTCCCAGTCCTTTTTCTCTCCCTCATCTCATCCCTGTCTTGGCACTTTTCTCTTCCCTGCCTTTATTTCTTTATAGAATACAGGAAAGCCTAACACTGACTTTCAATCAGATCTTGTGTCTGAATGCACATCCACATTTACACACGTAAAAAACACACACACATTCCCCCAGACTTTCTCCCTCACACATGCTGGGAAAAGAAGCTGCGTATGTTGAGTCAGAGCCTTTTGTAATGATACAAACTCTTACATTTGGTTTGAAGTGTAATGTGAAGGGAAGGTTTGGGATCCCCTGGGATCCAGCTCGACATGAAATGCAGCAGGTTTCATTCACTGTTTCTGTATTCAGCTGGGGGGCTCTTTGCTGTCTAAGACACAGAATGTTCAACAGGAGAACAGAAACGCTGCAGAGAACGGTCTTGTCAGTGTATCGTGATGAGGAAGCTGGGGACCACTTTGGCTTTGTGTGTGGTTTTATGGCAGGGTGGGGAGATAGCGCTAGTAGGCAATATTCAAATTGCTGGTATTGAAGAGTGCACTAATAATACTGACCACAGCTGAGTGGGCTAGTAAATGTTCCATTAGTGGTCACATGTTGTGTAATCTTGATTTGCAATCATTCCCTTTTACACAATGTGTATTCCCAACCAACGCAATGCAGTTTCTGCATCAATAAACTTGTTAACAGTATTAACGATTGAATCTATTAAACTCTCTTGCTGACATTGTTATGGAAATAGCTAAGTGAAGAGGTTTTGTTTGATACAAATAACGTCAAGAGTTTAGAGCTTAGTATCCCCCATTGCCTGGTATTGCATTCGTTTGAAATATATTTTGAGTTTTCAGCAGGTGATTTTCAATTGCCGTGTCTTCAAAGTGTAGAGAAGTCAATATTGTTGTGTACAACTCTCAATTTAAAGCTTAAACTACAGTCAGCAGCAGTCCTCCACATAAAGATGTTTTTGGTGAGTTGTTGTGAAATCCTGCTGTTTATATGTATCAGATACACAGGCTTTATTGGCAACCTGAAAAGCAAGTCAACATTGTCTCAGCAGTGCCTCATAGTATCTGCAGTGACAGTAAATCTGCTGTACTCCAGAATACAGATGGATATTTTAATGTAATACACTAAGGTGCCAGTTTAAATAGGTACACACACCTTTCTAAAGCCACTGCAATCTGACACAACCGCCCTGCAATAAAACCAAACTTTATAAAGCTTATTATATTCCGTTTTCATGAGACAGAGGACAAAATATAAGATACAGCTTTCAATGTTTGGCCTCCAAAATGATAGGGCTGAATCAACACCTGGCTGTCAACAAAAAGCAACATTATGAGCTTTGTAAACCTAGGGTTTATTGCAGACTTCTTCTATTGCATTGCATTGGATTCTAGCTGTGTGTATCAAATAAAAAGGAAACACATTCCCGTTTTAAATCTGTGTTTACTTGTAGGGGAAAAGAGGAGGACAGCTAACATATGCCTGATGAATATGGATCAGAAAGAGTGAGGGTAGGGAAGAGAAGAGAGGCAGTGAAAGGTGTGCACTTTTTTAGATGGTGAGGGAGGGGAAGGCTAATGTGTGTCAACCGTACAGACAGGTCAGTGGCCTCTAGCTTCCTGTGTAAACGCCTCTCCCTGCTGTGTGTGTGTGTGTGTGTGTGTGTGTGTGTGTGTGTGTGTGTGTGTGTGTGTGTGTGTGTGTGTGTGTGTGTGTGTGTGTGTGTGTGTGTGTGTGTGTGTGTGTGTGTGTGTGTGTGTGTGTGTGTGTGTGTGTGTGTGTGTGTGTGTGTGTGTGTGTGTGTGTGTGTGTGTGTGTGTGTGTTACCTTTCTTCAAATCTCTTATTCTGACTGTCTCTTTTGCTATGTCTGTTTCCCTCCACCCATTCCGTCTCTACAAGTCTAAAGCTGTTTTGCTTTAACACCTCTCACATCTGGCCTCCTCTTTACATATTC